GACAGGGATGAGTGTTCGACATGACATGCATAGATGATAAAGAAAGTGCCCAATAGAAGTTTAAAATGAGCTAGGGAGCTGACAAATCTAACAATAAGGAGTCAAGAACTCCCAACTTTGAGGTATCTTTAGACCGTCAGGTTTTGTAGGACAAGCAATGAAGTTTGCACCACTAACAATCATTAAAGGTGGGATCTCCGACCCTAAGCAATGTTGCCCATTTTCCAATTTCTAGCATCCATGAACCATGATAGCATAAGCCATAAATTGACTGAAATTAAACCCCTCATTCTCATTGCCAACCCAAGAAAGGGAAAAGGAAGAAGCAGATGCATTAAGTGCAGAGAAGAGTCCTAAATCACATCAGACAATCAGAAACATGAAAGAACAACAACTCATGAAGTCGGTAGACCATGTAAGTAGACCAGCTTAAATGCACAAGATCTACGTTATCAACTCCTAACAAGACACTCAGAAAGGAAAGAAGAAGGCGGGGGGGGGGGGGGGGGGGATTAGAATAGGCTAAAAAGTTAGAGAGAGTGTGTTGAGGACAGTACAATGGGCTGAGGATTGAGGCTGATACAATGAGGGATGCATGGGTTTTGTTTCAAGTAATTCCATTATATCATAAATATACACCAGAGAGTACAAAATTAGAGATGACACTCCAATTTACTCTAGAGAATATATCACAAATTTACTTAAATTCCCATGGCACATAATTAGAGATGTTACTTCTATTTACTCAAGAGAATGTCTTATAAATTTACTTAAACAGAGAAATTTTTCAAGTGTTTCCCAACATTACTATCGTCTGATATTTTCTAACCACCCTTTCAATTTTCTGATAAAAGACTCAGAAGATTACTTGCTGCAAGACTTGATGAAAATAAGGAAAAAGGTACTCCATTTATCAGGAAGAATTATTTCTCTATTAATAAGTATTCCGTGGCTAACTCTTTCATAGTTTTTGACTTTTGAGCATAGCTTATAAATCTCTTTACTTCTACATGGATTTCCATGCATTTGAAAGATGTTATTTGTGTAGCAGTTATGTACAGTCTCTCTATTAATCTTCATATCAATTTCCTATGATGCTAGTTACTGACCATTTGTAGATTATTCTGTTCTTAGGTTTTTATATCTAGCTTCCTGGTCATGTATAGTTTCCTTAAAAGACGAGCATAGTTGGTCATTAGTGGTCTCGGGTAATATCGAAATTATCATGTTTCTTTGTCATGATCGATCAAATCTGAATCCAGGCTGGAATACTTGGAAACATGCAAAATCTATATGAAACTGTAAAGAAGGCACAAATGGTTGTTCAAGTCGAGGCAGTACGTGTGCAGAAAGAACTTGCAGTGTAGGTGCTCTTGATAAATATTTCCATACCCGTTTTATGATTTGCAGCCACTCTTCCATTACTCTGTGCTCTAAATATATTTGTTAATTTTCTTAAATTACAGTGCAGAGTTCGACGGCTATTGTGAAGGTGAGCTTATAAAGGTATTGATGCTTTTCCTGAAGATAGCTTTTAGATTCTCTCCTAACCCCTCCACATTTTGATGGCTATTATGGACACAATACACCTGCAAAGATTTAAAAATCGTGCTTGAAATGATTTTTCTCTTTGATGTCTAGTGACTGCTGACATATTGATGTGGGCTGTTCTGTAGGCAACGCTTTCCGGTAACCAACAGCCTGTGCGCATAGAAATAACTGAGGCTGCAATGGACTTGGGACCGGAAGTAAGTTTATATGTTCTATCTTACAACTTCATCACCATGCTATAATCATAATTTATGCTTTATTTTGCACCTGCATGAAGCTGCTATACTGCATTGAGTGCACAGCAGATTGTATGACTAGACTCTTTGCTCTTATCATATGTACATATTGTAAACAGTTACTTACTATATACTACAGTCAGACCTCTCTATAACAGCATCCCTATATAACAACACTTCAGTGTTTTTGAGAGTGCGAAGCGCAAAAAAGCGACAGGGGCTCGCCTCGCTTCAAAAGCGAAGCGCACACTTCATTGAAGTGAAGCACAATTCTTAAAAAAAAACATAATGTAAACCTTGCAAAGACACAACATAAATAAGTTCAATTTAAAAACTTAAAAGTTGGTACCACCAAATCCTCCACAAACCATAGAACAAGCAAAATCAAAGCTACTAAATTACTAGAATCAACATCTTATTGTTCTACTATATATATATATATATATATATATATATATAATAATTAATTTTCTAAACTGAAGTACACATTAAAAAATCAAATAAACTGAAAATATAACACATATATATAATAAGTAATTTTATAAACTAAAATACATATTATAATTAAGAAGAATAAAAGGAAAAAAAAAAAGAAAACCAGCGCCAGAGCAGACGCTGGACGGGAACAAGAAGAAGAAAGAAAGAAGAAAGAAAAAAATGAGAAGAAGAAAGGAGAAGAAGAAAATTACCTGGACTGGATGGAGGAAGTTGAAACCCTAGCAACATCAATGTCGATCGAAGTAGAGAGAAATGGTCAACTTCGGTCTTAGGGGTCTGTTTTGTATAATAAAAAAATAGACCCATTTTTTTTTTTTAAAAAAAAGACCCCTCTTAACAGAAGCGAGCGCTTCTGCGCTTCACGTCGCTTCGTCGCTTCTTCAACTGAAGCGCGCGCTTCACCTGGTCGAGTCGCCTCAGGCTGGGAAAAGCGACCAGCCATCGCTTCGCGCTTAAAGCGACGAAGCGATCACTTTTTAAAACACTGCAACACTTCACTATAAAAGCCAAGCTTTTCCGGAACCAATTTTCATGTTATGTTATAATATATGTTCTCTATAACAACACTTCTTTATAATATCCAAAAATATTCGGAACAAATGAGACTGTTATATAGAGGTTTGACTGTATTTCTAAATTAAAGACTTGGCAGCTGATGGATAACTAAACCATCAGAAGACGCCTTTTAATGTTTTTCTTACTCCTAGTTGTGAACAGTTGCTTACTTTATAGTTTATACTATTTCTAAATTAAAGCCTTGGCAGCTGTTGGATAATTAACCATCAGAAGACGCCTTTTAATGCTTTTCTTACTCCTAGTTGTGAAAGATCAATAAACGGTACAACTAATATTGCATGCATATTGCTTGATACTCTTGTTTAAAAATTCTTTTTTTTCTTTTTTTTTTTATTTGCACCGGGTGTCCGAGTCTCTAAGAGCCCCGACTAATCCCGGGGGTGCACAGGCCCTCGGCAAGGAGTTTCCCGCAAGTGCACCACGGTTAATTCAGGTTTTACCCAGTCCGATGGCCCTCAGAAATTGTTTGCACCCAGTGGGTTTCGAACTTGAGACCTTGAAAGGGAGCAAACCCCAAGGCTCAAGTCTATTGGCACCAGGCCAACCCGTGAGGGTTACTCTTTTTTAAAAATTCTCTCTTTACTTGAGAGAATGTTTTGTCAATAAACCTACCAGTATTAACAATCATATTCTACTCAAGTGGAAGCTTTCTGTAACATCTTCCCACAAATCAAATGAAAGGAAGAAAATTAGATTCGGCCTGGCCAAAACTAGCTCTGTCAACTAAAGTTTTGTAGTATCTGAAACTTGTTGGTCTTGTTCTTCTATTGAACCATGCTGTACATTGATTGAATGCAGAAACTCTCTCTCTTAGTAACAGAGGCCTACAGGGACGCACACCAGAAAAGTGTACTGGTGAGAACTACAAAACTAGCTTTGTCGTATGGTTGCCTTTGATCATCTGGTATCCGCTTTCCTGATTCTACGATTTTACACATAAATTATAATGTCTTTGAATTGTAGGCCATGAAGGAGAGAATGAACAATCTTGCTCAGAGCTTAGGAATGCCGGCAGGACTAAGTGAAGGAATGAAGTAATAGAGTTCCCAGAAAGAGGCTCCAGTTTTGTTTACGTACTTTACAGTAATGTTCTACTTACCATTATCAATTAAGTTTAACTGTGATGAATGTATTACACTGATTATAATTATTTGAGCTGCCAATTTAGATTTTCCCTTTGTTTGCTGTAACATTCTTTTGTTGTAGTAAACACAGTAAAGCTAAAAGGAGCAAATAATTGGCTGGCTCTTTACAACTTCTCATCACATCACCTTCTTCTGTTTGAACTTCGTCCTGCTTCTTGTTTTGCTTCTCTCTGCTTAGGCATTTAGTCCTAGTTTATGCCTCCTGCTTGTTTTCTAGACGGATCTATTGGACCCTGCACTACTGTTAATGCTAATTACACATACCCGAGAAACAAATGCAACAAATCGATTCAATAGTAAGTGCAATTAGTATGTAGATACTGCTTGTGCAGAAATCTTCATTTTAGGATGTTTCATGTATAGAGTATGACCCCTTCGCGGATGGCCCAGTTGGTTTGGAGGGCGGTCATCTATACAGATGATCTGGGATCAATCCCCCCTCAATGCCTTTCTAGGTCGAGCCTGTCGCAAAGGGTTTGCCTACTGCGGTTTACATCCCCCTGTGTGGTTTGCTATTACACAGTGAGGGGTTTTACCCAGTGTGCACAGAGTGCTCACCCGAAGGCAGAGGCTGTAGCCGCTGCGGGTTTTCCTGGGGTTCCAAAAATAAAAATTATAGAGTATGGCTAAAAAATGTTCATAGAGCAGTGGGGCGCATGCTCATCTCATATATTTGAGATGAGCATATCCTAAAATCCTGCGTGTACGGAGGCATGGAACTTGGTTACTTGCTAGTTTGACTTGGTTACTAGAACTCCAAAATACAGAGCAAGAGAGAACAAGCATGTGTCTGCTATAGTAATTTTTCTCTTTTTTGTTTTCCTTTGTTTGTTCTAGTTTTACAGGCTTAAGAAACAGTTTGTGTACTTATTTGCTTTTTTCACAAATAAATCTTTACAGTTAAAGGAAGAAAAAAAATGTGCTACTCTCAAATTTTTGTATTCAAAATCGGCAGAGAGACGAGCTTCAGTTCCAGCATAAATAAAAAACTTAATGAATGGACGGGAAAGAAAGTTCAATTTACCATACAGAACAATATAATAAAGCTTGAATTAACTTAATGAAAAGTAAAGAACAAATTGAATCAAAGAATATCGACCAAGGAAAAAGACTAAGAACCTCATCTTCCTCCTTTTCCCTCTCACCATTTGACTATCTATCTATCTATCAAATTAACATGAAAATCACTACAAAACTCTCTCTCACTTCAAAACAAGAACCCCATTAAAACCCCCAAAGCCATAACAGAACTAGTCTTCAAGCTAATAGCATTGCTAGTAGGAGCCATAGCTGGACCATCAAACTCTGTTGGAGAAGGTGCAGGTGCACCCATGAATCTCCTCATATTCTTCTCAGATAAAGTCACTACTATCAATTTTTGGCCTTGCTCACAATGCCCTTTTGCTCCACTAATAAAATAGTAAGCTCCTGAATGTGTTAGCTCTATCTTTGTATTCCCATCATTGTGTACTGCTATTGGACTTGAACTGTTGCATGTCACATAATCCCTCTTGCTCACTTCTAAAACTGAGTCTTTTTTTGCATCATACTTCCAAACTGCCAAAAAGACAAAAAAAACAAAGAAAAAGGTCATTGCTTTGATTATACACAAACAAAATTGTGTGACATACCAATCTTTCTGTATCAAGGGGATTCAACAATTTTTATGTATATATAAAATTATTTATACCCTATTTGCACATTTTAATTTTCTGACGAATTTGGAGCATGTATGTAGCTCAGCCCCTAATCTGAGCTGAAAATAAAATTACGGATATAGTTCAGATAATTATAACATACCAAGAGAATCTCCAATGAGGAAGCGAGATTTTTCAGCCCAACGATTGAGGGAATCTGATTCAGAAGATGGGATTTTCCAAGAATCAGTTTTGCCACCAACCAAATGATCTCTGGCTTCTGTGAAGCTCAAGAGGAGGAAGAAGAGAACAGCTACTAGTGAAGAAGAAATCACATTTCTTGAAAAACCAGCCATTTTGATATAAATAAGCTCAAAAAGCTAAAGTCTTTGATTTTAAACAGATTCTTTGCTGGTATTTTGAAGAGAAGTGGAAGGAAGGAATGAGGTAGATAGAGATGGGTATGTTGGCTTTGAAAAGGTCTTTTACTGTATATATATAGTGACGAGGTAAGGTGGGAGTGGGTGAAGCAAGAAAACTAGCCGTTAGAATAAAGCAGCCAAGGTTTGTGGTATCCTAGGTATCTGTAGTTTTTGGCTTTAACGTTAACAACGGTTATAAAGGTTAAAACTTTTTATTTTTATTTTTCACAAATGTCCAAGGAGCAAAGTAAAATCTGGAAAATGTGTAGTTAGGTACGCGAGTCGGTGGAGACCAATTCATCAACCGGTCAAACTCGACCCTGAAAAATTGTGTGTTGGGCCTTGTTCATCACATTTTTGCAGCTCACAAACTAAAGGGTTTAGGATTTATCTCAACTAAAAACAATTGAGGTTTCTGCTTGTGTTAATGCTGTATTGTGGGCCGGGCCCAGCCTGGGACCGCGGGCCAAACGGGCCGCTTCCAACGGGCCGGTCTCTAGCGGTTCGGTCTCTACCAAAAAGTCCGCAAGCCCGGGACCAGCAGGCGGGCCTGGGCCAGTTCAATCGGGCCAAACGGGCTCAATGGTCAGAATTTAAATATTTTTTTTTTAAAAGGGCCAACTGTCAGAATTTTAAAATGTAGCCGTTGGCCTGCAATTTTAGCCGTTTGGCACTTTCAAAAATAGCCATTTGGCCCCCAAACTTTGTTTTAATCCCAAACTTTTTATAATTATACTTTTTCCCTATTCTCAACTATAAATACCCCCTCATTCTTTCATTTTTACTCTCAAATTCATCAATCTCTCTCAATCTCTCTCTAATTTTCTTCTATAATTGCTTACTTTATTATTGCAATTTCGTGAAAAATCGTGAAGTTGGTGAATTGAAGTATTCAAGTCTTCAACAATATTCAATTTTAAAGAAGTTGTTCGTCAATTCGGTAAACTCGTTCCAACTCTTAAGTTTTAATATTATAGTTTTGTTTGTTTTAGTTTGTATAATTATAATTAATATGGCCTTTTCTTTGAAAAAAATGTTTGGTGGTAAGGGAAAATCTAAAATTGGTGAATCTAGTCGCCAAGCTACTACCCCTCCCTCGGCTCCCCGACCCAGACCTGTTACCCGTCCTCCTCCACCTATTATTCTTGATAGCGATAACCCTTGTTTTCAATTTAGCGATAGTCAATTTTGCCATGATGTTGCACCAGGTCAACAATTAAATGCTGAATATATGAATGCTCTTTATCCTAATGAAACTATTGATGAAAATGATGAGGAAAATGAAAATTTAGATGAAACACAACCGGATTTAGATGATACACCTACTAGTTCTGTTATTAACCCAACTGATAATAATCCAACTGATGCCCCGCCTGACCCTCCTGTAGTAACCCCTACTTTTAATAGACAACGTTCTAAACGCCCCGAAACATCACTTGTTTGGAACTTTTTTTACTCAACTAAGAGAACAAAATAAGGCTAAGTGTAAAACTTGTGGGTCTTTGATGACTCATAAATATTGGAGACCGTAGCGGTACGGGTACTTTGACTAGACACATATTGAAACACCCTAGAGATAAAGCTAGATATTTACAAATGAAAGCTGCGCAAGAGGGGAGAAGTCTAGGTACTGAGGTTAACCCTAGTACTGGGTCAAATCTAGTTCAACCAGGAATTAACACTGTGACCGGTGACATTTTATATTACGATCCAAATAAAGATCGTGAAGAATTAGCAAAAATGGTTACTGTTATGTGCTTACCCTATAGTTTTCCTTCTAACCCTCACTTTGTGCATTATATTAGAAAAGTTGTTAATCCTACTTATAAAGGATGGCCTCGCGCAACTGTAAAGAGCGATATTTATAAATACAAACATGAATATGAACAATATTTGCGCTATTTATTTACTCATATAGATTGTCGCATTGCTATTACAACTGATATTGGTAGAAGCGGTAATGACTGTGATTATCTAACTGTTACCACTCATTGGATTGATGAAGAATGGAAAATGCAAAAACGTATTATTGCATATAGAATAATTAATTCACGTCACACAGGTAACTTTATTGATAACACAGTTGCAGATATTTGTAGATATTTTTGCATTAGAGATAAAATAATGTCAATTTCTATGGATAATGCTTCTAGTAACACTAATGCTATAGGTTTACTTACAACTACACTAAATCCTGCATTTAGTAATTGTTTCCATGTTAGATGTATTTGTCATATTTTCCATTTTAATCGTCAGTGATGGTATGAAAAATTTTAAATTTAGAAATTGAAAAGGTTAAAATGGCTCTTAATTGGTTTTTTTATTCAAACCGTAGAAGTAGACTTAGAGAATATTTTAAAAAATGTGATGAATTTGGCCTTAGAGAAAGAAAGGTTCCTAAAGCTTGTCCGACTAGATGGAATTATATGTACGAAAGTTAGGTTGTTGCATATGAATATAGAAACCCAATAAATGCAATGTTTAATGCTCGTGTTGGTGGTGAGGATGATGATGAAATCCTTACAAATCAAGATTGGAATAATGCTAAAATTCTTATAGATTTTTTAGAACAATTTCATCAAGCTACAAATGAATTGTCTAGGCAATATTATCCTACTATTTCAAACTGTTTATTATATTGCAGCACTATGTGATTTGTTTGTTGAATTTTTAGAGGGTGGGGTAATTTATCAATTTTCTATAAATGCAATGAAAGAAAAATTTTAAAAATATTTTTTCCCTATCCCCTCTATTTATGGTGTTGCTGCCATGTTAAATCCTACTATGAAATTAGGAGGTCCTCACTTTTGGTATTCAAATTTTTATAAGGCTTTAGATCTTTCAGATGATGAATTTGCTACACTTGCAGATGCAAAAGCCTCAATTAAAATAAATGCTCAAACAATTTATAATGCTTATCAACTTGCCTTAGATCATGCTAGACCAAATGTTCCAACTCCTACTTCGTCTAGTTCGCAATCATCTAAAAGAACTGCGGGCCTAAAAGCACTTAGTTCTTGGACGGCGTTCAGGGGTTCTCAAGGTGATAATATTGATGATACTTCACATCTAAATGAGCTTCAAGTTTATTTGTCGCAGGGCCTTGAAAAGGAGAATCCAGACGGCACCTTTGATCTTTGGAATGGTGGAAGGCCAAAGAAAAACACTTTTCGGTTCTTTCAAGGATGGCTCGGGATATTTTATGTGTTCAAGCTTCAACAGTGACATCAGAGAGCGCTTTCAGTCAAGCGAGACTTCAAGTAGGTGATCATAGAGCGTCTATGAGGGAGAGCTTGAAAAAATCAGTACTCTTCCGAGATTGGATCCGTTCGGAAAGAAGAAATTTTGGACTTGCTGAATCACAACCGGAGATAGACGAAGCTTATGAAGAAATGCTAGCGGAACTTGCGGAGGATGCTGCTTCGCCCGGAAGCGGTGATGAACAAGCTTCTTTTCCGCCACCACCAACGAAAATTCCTCCGAACCTTGAAGGATTTATGAAATTTGTTAGAGATAATATGTAACTTGTATTTTGGCACATCTTCATTAGTTTTTTCCTTCTAATGGTGATATTAGCACCTTGTTGTGCTCATTCCATTGGGGGGAGGAAGACTAAGAAAGATATTTCTATTTTTGTTAATGTCGTAATAATAAAAATTATAAGGCATTCCCTCTCTTTGCAATTTTTTTTGTGTTTAAATTTGACTCTTTAGAAGATTTAAGTTACAATTCTATAATATATTTACAAGATATTATACAAGGCTATATATATATATTTACAAGATATTATACAAGGCTATATATATATATATATATATATATATATATATACATACATATATACTATATATACTGCATAATATATATAAGCTACATAATATACATAAGGCAATATATATACATAACATACTATATATACTACATAATTGTGACGACCCGACCCGTCATCTCATGAGAACCGCTCCGTTTCCCCCATTTCCTGCTTCGTTATGCTTCATTATCAGTGTCTTGTGCGAACGAGTTGAATTGGGTTGATTTTTGGAAGGAAATGAGACACTTAGTCTCTTTAAGGAAGGCTTGTTTTGGAAAAGTCAACCGGATGTTGACCTATGAGTTATAGGGCTCGGATGTGGATTCCGACGATTCGGTTAGCTTCGGGGGATGATTTGTGACTTAGGAGTGTGATCGGAAGTGATTTTGGAGGTCCGGTGTAGAATTAGGCTTGAATTGGCGAAGTTAGTATTTTGGCGAATTCCGGTTGATAGGTGAGATCTTGATCCGAGGGTCGGAATGGAATTCCGAGAGTTGCTGTAGCTTCGTTAGGTGATTTGGGATGTGTGTGCAAAATTTCAGGTTATTTGGAGGTGATTTGGTTGGGTTTTTGATTAAATGCGTGTTTCGGAAGTTTTAGAAGAACTTAGGCTTGAATCCGATGTAAATTTGGTGTTTTGATGTTAGCTTTGGTGTTTTGAGAGTGCAACTAAGTTTGAATGATCATATGTGACGTGTTAGTATGTTCGTATGCGGTCCCGAGGAGCTCGGATGAGTTTCAGATAGGTTTGGGCTGCGTTGTGCTCGTTTTTCTTATGCTTCGACGTCGTTTCTTCAAGCATAAATGATATCATATTGAACAAATGAGCTCCGATTACTGTTTTGAATGAAGCATTATATCCGTATCGTAATTACGGACCCGTAGCAAAAAGAATCGTCGAATTTGGACATCGTATGACGATTTTATGGCCATTTTACCAAGGTTGCCCAGATTTTCAGGTTAATGACGAAATTGCCCCTGACGGCGTATTAAAAACCTGCACTATTTGCAAATCTTAAAACCTACATATCTCCTTCATTATAAGGTCAAATTGAGTGATTCAAAAGCCTAAATTCATTAGAATTTCACAAGAAATCCATTGGGATCAGTAAAACGCGTGAACAGTATACCTATAATGAGCAGGTCGAGTTTTCTTCCAATTTTTGAACGGGAAGAAGCTTCTGAGGCGATTTTTAAGAGAGAAAATCAGTGGGTATCACAGAGGTAAGTGATTTGATTATTAAAACTCGTTTATGGGTGATT